GAACACACAAATATCTGTGATATCAAAAAAAAAATTAACAGAAACGAACTACATAAAAATACCACAGGACGCCACAATAAAAAAGAGAAATTATTGCAGCAATAAGCCTTTTTTTCTGGAGTAAGACTAAAAGTATTTCATAAAAACACGCATGGTTTGAGTGGTTTCAGTCCCTATAAAAAGTTACAACAAATATTGTTAATAAGAAAGCCTCCAGTGATGTTAACATGGCTCATATATCTTATACTTCAGTTTAATACATTGTGAGAGTTTAAGTAAAAAAGAGAGAAAATGGATAGCATTAAATAGGATACCAGCAAGTTCTACTGCACGTAAATGAAAACCAAAAATCAGTCTGAGGCAGAAAAATATCAGATTTGTTCCCCATTTCAGTATTTAAGACTCGTTTAATCCACAAAAATAGCGAAAAGTTACTTTCAGAAAATAGCTGCTGAATATAGCCTATACAGCGCTAAAAGTCCACATATCACTCTTTTTCTTTCGGCTTTCAGTCCCTGAATAATCAGCGGCCGAGACAGCAGAATGAACCACCCAACTTAAAGTAAAATAAATAAATTAATAATTAAATAAATAATAATAATAATACTATATATATATATATATATATATATATATATATATATATATATATATATATATATATATATATATATATATCAGAAAAATAAAAAATAGCATTTTTATACAAGATATTTTCTTAAAAATCAAGTACTGACGCAGAGACAATTAGTGAACGTGTCAACAATTCAAGCTAAAATTAAGTTTTTTTTTTTTTTTTTTTTAATAAAAGCATTGTAAAAGTTATGAAACAATTCTCACCTGATCATCAAAATCCCCACTGACCAGTTTTCCCCTTTGCGCATGCGTGAGTGTCTGTGTCCCACTGGTGTCCAGACTAATGATGCTCTCACTGCAAGGTCTGCCGTATTTCACATCACTCTTTCTGGAGTCAGTGGTTCTGCACACCTCATAATTGTACACGTGCTGTAAAGTTCCTGTGCCTCCTACATCTGCGTAAAGAGGCGGATAATACGGAATAACCGGAAGATTCGCTCCAGACTTATAAAACATCCGCTCGCGTCTCCATCTGTAGCATTTGACTGACAGTATGGCGATGATGGACACGATAAAGAGAAACGACACTACAGCCAAGGCCAAGACGAGATAGAAAGTCAGGTTGTCGTTGTATTCCTTGTCGTGCGTAAAGTCGGTGAACTCCGAGAGCACCTCAGGGAAGCTGTCCGCCACCGCCACGTTAACATTGACTGTAGCTGATCGAGAGGGCTGCCCGTTGTCCTCCACTACAACAGTGAGTCTTTGTTTGACAGCATCTTTATCTGTCACTTGCCGGACAGTTCTGATTTCTCCATTCTGTGCGCCCACTTCAAACAGCGCCCTGTCTGTGGCTTTGTGCAGTTTATAGGAGAGCCAGGCGTTCTGTCCAGAGTCCACATCAACAGCCACCACTTTAGTCACCAGATAACCCACATCTGCCGAACGAGGCACTATTTCAGCCACCACAGAAGCGCCTGACTGGACCGGATACAGAACCTGAGGCGCGTTGTCATTCTGGTCCTGAATCAGGATTTTGACGCTCGCGTTGCTGCTGAGAGGAGGAGAGCCTCCGTCCTGCGCTTTTACGCGGAACTGGAACTCTTTGATCTGCTCGTAATCGAAAGATCGCACTGCATGTATGACTCCACTATCAGCACTAACGGACACTAACGAGGAGACGGGCACTCCGTTAACCGACGAGTCCTCCAGTATGTAGGACACACGGGCGTTCTGGTTAAAATCTGCGTCTCTGGCTCTGACTGTGAATATGGAAAGACCAGGTGTGTTGTTTTCCTGAACAGAGGCCTGATATGAGCTCTGCTCAAAGACAGGCGCGTTATCATTCACATCTGATATCTGTAAGGAGAGAGTGACGCTGCTGGAGAGAGAGGGCACGCCCTCATCAGCACACGTCACACTGATGTTATACCCAGACTCTCTCTCGCGATCTAAATCACCATCAGTGACTAAACTGAAGAAATTATTATTTGTCGTCTTCAGTGTAAAAGGGAGATTCTCGTTAACTGAACAATAAATTTTACCATTTTCTCCCGCGTCTGGATCCTGCACATTTATCATTGTTACAACTGTGCCAGAATTAGAATTTTCTAAAATGCTGGTTAATTTAGACATTATGTTAATGAGGGGTTTATTGTCATTTAAATCAATCACATCTACATCAATTTTACAAGAATCAGTCAGACCCCCGTCATCGCTCGCTTGTACATGAATTTGATAATGTCGAGCCTTTTCGTAATCTACAGTCCCGATCACTCTCACCTCACCGTTTGTCTCGTTTATTTCAAATAACACCGGAACATCGTCAAGGGTATTTGTAATCGCGTATGTTATTTTGCCATAAGAGCCCTCATCCAAATCAGATGCGCTCACTGTTGTTATAACTGTGCCTCTGACTGCATTCTCAGTGATGCTCGCTTTATATATCTTCTGTGTAAAAACAGGCGCATTATCGTTAGCATCTAAAACTGTAATGTGGATCTGTGCTGTACCAGACAGCTGTGGATCTCCACCATCTATGGCTGTCAGAACCAGAGACAAATGCTCCTGCATTTCGCGATCAAGGGGTTTCTGAAGAATCATTTCTACTAGTTTAGTACCGTCTGCCTGACTTTGCAATTTCAATGAAAAATTATCCGTGGGCTTTAATGTATATGTCTGCAAACCATTTTTTCCGACGTCTAAATCCATTGCTCTCTCTAAAACAAACAATGCTCCAGTTGCAGCTGACTCACTAATCCTAAATTTTATCTCAGCCCTTTTAAAAGAAGGCGAATTATCATTTACATCTGTAACTTCGACTGTAACAGAGTAAAACTCCATTGGATTTTCGAGTATGATCTGCAAATGCAGCGCGCAAGGCGTTGTCTGTCCGCACAGCGCCTCTCGGTCTATTCTCTCTTTGATAAGGAGGACTCCTCTTTCTTTATTCAGCTCGATGTATTCAGCGCTGTCTCCTGTATAAATCCGCGCTTTCCCCGATTTCAGCCTCTTTAAATCTAAACCCAAATCCTGCGCTATGTTCCCGACTAAAGAGCCTTTGGCCATTTCCTCAGGAATGGAGTAACTGACCTGCCCGAGAGCTGAGCTGAGAGAGAGAAACCAAATAAACAGCAGTACTTGCCGCGCCATTGTTCTGTCCGACATTTTGCAGGAGACCAGAGAACGAAGATTAAAGAAGAAATCAAAACCAGACCAAAACGCTTCAGGAAATCATGTATAAATCCAAAGAGACATGAACTAGCAACAACAAAAATATTTCCAAGAGAATGTTAATGAATAGAGTATCTCCGTGTTTTGTCTTCTCTCTCCTCCTCACACTGCGCTCTCAGCTTCTGTCTCTCTCTAATAATATGGAGATGATGGGGGTGGAACTGCAGCAGATCTGCTTTCTACACTGACATATTGACCAACAGCGGCACTATGAGTTCATTCTGAAGAACTGCAAAATGACTAAAATATACAGTATATTCAGAGTATAACACGTGTTTTAAAATGATCTCCCCTTAAATCATAAGTCAAATATAGCCGTTTTGAATATTAATCAAATTGCAATCCTAAAGTGAAAAATGGAGGAATAATTTGTAATTAAATGTGAAAAAACAAAGAACTAAACAAGCCAAAGCATAAAAAAATGAAAATAATTATATAGTACAAATATAGAAGCACTGTTCATAACGTAATAGAAGAGAAAAAACAAACATATATCTAATAATATACATTAAAACGCGTGAATATGGCAGATTAATATACTTGTAAATTGTAAGACGAGGTGTTTGAAGGATTTTAAATGACTGAATACTTAAATTATAAAAGAAAGAAACAAGACACGAAGTGCAAACTATTTCAGCACCATGGTCAGTTACGGTGACTTGACTTTAATCTTCTCTGAAGATATTCTGCTTTCAAAATTAAAATGTGTTCAGAGGATAGGGGATAGTCAAAGTAGAAAAAAAATATTCCTATATTTTAATATGATGCATTTCTGTGTTGCAGGCCTTTTAAAAGATGCGTCTGTAATTGTTTTAAGCAAGTGTTGATAAGGGCGTTGATTATTAGTCACTCATTTTGAAATGAGATAAAGCTGCATAACGCGTTACAACGGAAAAAAATGAGCACACAAACATCTGTGAATGAACAGAAACGAACTACATAAAAATACCACAGGACGCCACAATAAAAAAGAGAAATTATTGCAGCAATAAGCCTTTTTTTCTGGAGTAAGACTGAAAGTATTTCATAAAGACACGCATGGTGTGAATGGTTTCAGTCCCTATTAAAAGTTACAACAAATATTGTTAATAAGAAAGCCTCCAGTGATGTTAACATGGCTCATAAATCTTATACTTCAGTTTAATACATTGTGAGAGTTTAAGTAAAAAAGAGAGAAAATGGATAGCATTAAATAGGATACCAGCAAGTTCTACTGCACGTAAATGAAAACCAAATATCAGTCTGAGGCAGAAAAATATCAGATTTGTTCCCCATTTCAGTTTTTAAGACTCGTTTAATCCACAAAAATAGTGAAAAGTTACTTTCAGAAAATAGCTGCTGAATATAGCCTATACAGCGCTAAAAGTCCACATATCACTCTTTTTCTTTCGGCTTTCAGTCCCTGAATAATCAGCGGCTGAGACAGCAGAACACCACCCAACTTAAAGTAAATTAAATAAATAAATAAATAATAATAATAATAATAATAATAATACTATATATATATATATATATATATATATATATATATATATATATATATATATATATATATATATAGGCTATATATATATATATATATATATATATATCAGAAAAATAAAAAATAGCATTTTTATACAAGATATTTTCTTAAAAATCAAGTACTGACGCAGAGACAATTAGTGAACGTGTCAACAATTCAAGCTAAAATTAAGTTTTTTTTTTTTTAATAAAAGCATTGTAAAAGTTATGAAACAATTCTCACCTGATCATCAAAATCCCCACTGACCAGTTTTCCCCTTTGCGCATGCGTGAGTGTCTGTGTCCCACTGGTGTCCAGACTAATGATGCTCTCACTGCAAGCTCTGCCGTATTTCACATCACTCTTTCTGGAGTCAGTGGTTCTGCAAACCTCATAATTGTACACGTGCTGTAAAGTTCCTGTGCCTCCTACATCTGCGTAAAGAGGCGGATAATACGGAATAACTGGAAGATTCGCTCCAGACTTATAAAACATCCGCTCGCGTCTCCATCTGTAGCATTTGACTGACAGTATGGCGATGATGGACACGATAAAGAGAAACGACACTACAGCCAAGGCCAAGACGAGATAGAAAGTCAGGTTGTCGTTGTATTCCTTGTCGTGCGTAAAGTCGGTGAACTCCGAGAGCACCTCAGGGAAGCTGTCCGCCACCGCCACGTTAACATTGACTGTAGCTGATCGAGAGGGCTGCCCGTTGTCCTCCACTACAACAGTGAGTCTTTGTTTGACAGCATCTTTATCTGTCACTTGCCGGACAGTTCTGATTTCTCCATTCTGTGCGCCCACTTCAAACAGCGCCCTGTCTGTGGCTTTGTGCAGTTTATAGGAGAGCCAGGCGTTCTGTCCAGAGTCCACATCAACAGCCACCACTTTAGTCACCAGATAACCCACATCTGCCGAACGAGGCACTATTTCAGCCACCACAGAAGCGCCTGACTGTACCGGATACAGAACCTGAGGCGCGTTGTCATTCTGGTCCTGAATCAGGATTTTGACGCTCGCGTTGCTGCAGAGAGGAGGAGAGCCTCCGTCCTGCGCTTTTACGCGGAACTGGAACTCTTTGATCTGCTCGTAATCGAAAGATCGCACTGCATGTATGACTCCACTATCAGCACTAACGGACACTAACGAGGAGACGGGCACTCCGTTAACCGACGAGTCCTCCAGTATGTAGGACACACGGGCGTTCTGGTTAAAATCTGCGTCTCTGGCTCTGACTGTGAATATGGAAAGACCAGGTGTGTTGTTTTCCTGAACAGAGGCCTGATATGAGCTCTGCTCAAAGACAGGCGCGTTATCATTCACATCTGATATCTGTAAGGAGAGAGTGACGCTGCTGGAGAGAGAGGGCACGCCCTCATCAGCACACGTCACACTGATGTCATACTCAGACTCTCTCTCGCGATCTAAATCACCATCAGTAACGAGGCTGTAAAAGCCATCCGACGAAGACTGAATGATGAAAGGAATGTTTTCATTTAATACACATTTTACAATGCCATTTTCATTCGTATCTGCGTCTTGTATGTTCATCATTGCAACAACCGTCTCTGGTGTGGCATTTTCAGAAATGTCACTTGATTTGGACATTAAACTGATAACTGGCTTGTTGTCGTTCACATCTGTGACGTCAATAATTACTTTACAAGAATCAGTGTGCCCTCCCTGATCACTGGCTTGAATCGCTATCTGATGGTGTTTGTTTTTTTCGTAATCAACATTTCCAATTAGCCGGAGGACACCATCATATTGGCCAATTTCAAACAGGTTTGCTGACGCTGCGGAGGACAATGAATACGTGACGACGCCGTTAGAGCCATCATCTGCGTCGGACGCGCTTACTGTGGTCAACACGGTGCCCTTTGCCGAGTTCTCGGCTATAGTAGCTTTGTATACTGACTGACTGCAAACAGGAGCGTTATCATTCGCGTCCAAGACAGTAATGTGTATCAGCATTGTGCCTGACATCTGAACCTCGCCGCCATCGACCGCTGTTAACAATAAAGAAATATGATCTTGATTTTCGCGATCCAGGGGTTTCTGTAGAACCATTTCGACCGATTTACTACCATCTGGTAAACTGTGAGTTTTCACAATAAAATTATCACTCGGCTTCAGTGTATATCTTTGAAGACCATTTAATCCCACATCAGTGTCTACTGCAGTCTCCAAATCAAATTTAGCTCCTGTCTGAGCCAATTCGCTAATTTCAAATTTCATCTCATTACGACTGAATACAGGAGCGTTATCATTAATGTCTTGTATTTCAACTGTTACTCTGTATAGCTGCATTGGATTTTCGAGAATGATCTGAAAATGCAGCGCGCAAGGCGTTGTCTGTCCGCACAGCGCCTCTCGGTCTATTCTCTCTTTGATAAGGAGGACTCCTCTTTCTTTATTCAGCTCGATGTATTCAGCGCTGTCTCCTGTATAAATCCGCGCTTTCCCCGATTTCAGCCTCTTTAAATCTAAACCCAAATCCTGCGCTATGTTCCCGACTAAAGAGCCTTTGGCCATTTCCTCAGGAATGGAGTAACTGACCTGCCCGAGAGCTGAACTGAGAGAGAGAAACCAAATAAACAGCAGTACTTGCCGCGCCATTGTTCTGTCCGACATTTTGCAGGAGACCAGAAAACGAAGATTAAAGCAGAAGACAAATAATTTGATCCTAGAACTTGAAGGGAATCATGTATATCCAAAGTAGAAAGAACAACAAAATTCTGTAAATCCAAGAGAATGATAATGAATAGCGTATCTCCGTGTTTTGTCTTCTCTCTCCTCCTCACACTGTGCTCTCAGCTTCTGTCTCTCTCTAATAATATGGAGATGATGGGGGTGGAACTGCAGCAGATCTGCTCTCTACACTGACATATTGACCAACAGCGGCACTTTGAGTTCATTCTGAAGAACTACAAAATGACTAAAACATACAGTATATTCAGATTATAACACGTGTTTTAAAATGATCTCCCCTTAAATCATGACTCAATTATAGACGTTTTTAAAGTTAATCAAAATGCAATCTTAAAATTATAAATGGAGGAATGATTTTAAATTAAACGTGTAAGAAACAAACAAGCCAATAGCAATATAAAATGAAAATAATAAAAAATAAAAAATTAAGATGCAACTTTCTAAACCGAATTGAAGAGAAAATGATAAATATTTAATTAACAGAGATTAAAAATAAGTGAAAACTGTCCGATAATATTTTTTTTAATTTGAAGACAAAGTATTTGAAGGATTTTAAGTTACTAAAGAACTAAAATAGGAGAAGAAACAAGAAACGAAATATAAAATATTTCAGCACCATGGTCAGTTACGGTGACTTGAGTTCAATCTTCTATGAAGATATTTTAAAACTAAAATGTGTTCAAAGAGGATAGAGGATGGTCAAAGTAGAAAAAAAAATATTCCCATATTTTAAAATGATGCATTTTTGTATTGTAGAGCTTTTAAATTACGCGTTTATATTGGTTGTTTTACGCAAGTGTATAACAGTAATTGAGAAGGACGTTAGTCACTCCTGAAATTTTGATAAAACCGCATAACGCATTACAGCGGAAAAAATAGCACAAAGATCTTTTCCACAGGACAAATAAGTAGAAACAATATAAATACAAATACCACACGGCAACCACCATATAAAAAGACAAATTACAACAACTAGTCTTTTTTCTTTTGCAAACAGAAAATATTCCATAAAGGCATGGATAATTTGAATGGATTCAGTCCCTATAAACGGTTACAACACATATTGTTAATAAGAAAGCCTCACCTGATCATCAAAATCTCCACTGACCAGTTTTCCTCTTTGCGCATGCGTGAGTGTCTGTGTTCCACTGGTGTCCAGACTAATGATGCTCTCACTGCAAGGTCTGCCGTATTTCACATCACTTTTTCTGGAGTCAGTGGTTCTGCAAACCTCATAATTGTACACGTGCTGTAAAGTTCCTGTGCCTCCTACATCTGCGTAAAGAGGCGGGTAATACGGAATAACTGGAAGATTCGCTCCAGACTTATAAAACATCCGCTCGCGTCTCCATCTGTAGCATTTGACTGACAGTATGGCGATGATGGACACGATAAAGAGAAACGACACTACAGCCAAGGCCAAGACCAAATAGAAAGTCAGGTTGTCGTTGTATTCCTTGTCGTGCGTAAAGTCGGTGAACTCCGAGAGCACCTCAGGGAAGCTGTCCGCCACCGCCACGTTAACATTGACTGTAGCTGATCGAGAGGGCTGCCCGTTGTCCTCCACTACAACAGTGAGTCTTTGTTTGACAGCATCTTTATCTGTCACTTGCCGGACAGTTCTGATTTCTCCATTCTGTGCGCCCACTTCAAACAGCGCCCTGTCTGTGGCTTTGTGCAGTTTATAGGAGAGCCAGGCGTTCTGTCCAGAGTCCACATCAACAGCCACCACTTTAGTCACCAGATAACCCACATCTGCCGAACGAGGCACTATTTCAGCCACCACAGAAGCGCCTGACTGGACCGGATACAGAACCTGAGGCGCGTTGTCATTCTGGTCCTGAATCAGGATTTTGACGCTCGCGTTGCTGCTGAGAGGAGGAGAGCCTCCGTCCTGCGCTTTTACGCGGAACTGAAATTCTTTGATCTGCTCGTAATCGAAAGATCGCACTGCATGTATGACTCCACTATCAGCACTAACGGACACTAACGAGGAGACGGGCACTCCGTTAACCGACGAGTCCTCCAGTATGTAGGACACACGGGCGTTCTGGTTAAAATCTGCGTCTCTGGCTCTGACTGTGAATATGGAAAGACCAGGTGTGTTGTTTTCCTGAACAGAGGCCTGATATGAGCTCTGCTCAAAGACAGGCGGGTTATCATTCACATCTGATATCTGTAAGGAGAGAGTGACGCTGCTGGAGAGAGAGGGCACGCCCTCATCAGCACACGTCACACTGATGTCATACTCAGACTCTCTCTCGCGATCTAAATCACCATCAGTGACTAAACTGAAGAAATTATTATTAGTGGATTTAAGAGAAAAGGGAATATTTTCATTAACAGAACACTGAACTTTCCCATTTTCCCCTGAATCAGCATCCTGGACATTTATCATTGTAACCACGGTTTCAGACGGAGAATTTTCAGCTATCACGTTTGTTTTGGACATAATATTAATCACCGGTTTATTATCATTTACATCAATAACATCAACTATTATTTTACAAGAATCAGTCAGGTCACCGTGATCACTCGCCTGCACGCGTATCTCATAGTTACGAGCTCTTTCAAAATCTATTATGCCGACCACACTGACTTGACCATTATCTCTATTAATGGTAAATAACTGCTGAACATCATCTTCCATGTTGGCAATGGAATACTCTATTTTACTATTTATACCCTCGTCGGCGTCAGTTGCGCTCACTGTGGACACAATCGTGTCTTTTGGCGCATTTTCTGTCACAGTTGCTTTATAAACGGACTGCATGAAAACAGGCGCGTTGTCATTTACGTCTAACACAGTGATGTGAATATCTATACTTCCAGATAACTGAGGATCTCCTCCATCAACAGCTGTGAGGACTAATTTGATTTCATTCTGTTTTTCACGATCTAAAGGTTTTTGCAAAATCATTTCCACATGTTTTCCGTCTCCTGCTTGATTTTTAAATTTAAGGTTAAAATTATCTGTTGGTTTCAGCATATAGCTCTGAAGACCATTAATTCCCACGTCGAGATCTACAGCAGGCTCCAACATAAATTTAGAGCCTAAAACCGCTAATTCGCTGATTCTAAAAATAACCTTTGTCTTTTTAAAACTGGGAGTGTTGTCATTAATATCTGTTATTTCAATAGTAACACTAAAAAACTCCATGGGATTTTCGAGTATGATCTGCAGATGCAGCGCGCAAGGCGTTGTCTGTCCGCACAGCGCCTCTCGGTCTATTCTCTCTTTGATAAGGAGGACTCCTCTTTCTTTATTCAGCTCGATGTATTCAGCGCTGTCTCCTGTATAAATCCGCGCTTTCCCCGATTTCAGCCTCTTTAAATCTAAACCCAAATCCTGCGCTATGTTCCCGACTAAAGAGCCTTTGGCCATTTCCTCAGGAATGGAGTAACTGACCTGCCCGAGAGCTGAACTGAGAGAGAGAAACCAAATAAACAGCAGTACTTGCCGCGCCATTGTTCTGTCCGACATTTTGCAGGAGCCCAGAGAACGAAGATTAAAGCAGAAGACAAATAATTTGATCCAAGAAACTGAAGGGAATCATGTGAATATCCAAAGTGAAAAGAAGAAAATTCTGTAAATCCAAGAGAATGATAATGAATAGAGTATCTCCGTGTTTTGTCTTCTCTCTCCTCCTCACACTGTGCTCTCAGCTTCTGTCTCTCTCTAATAATATGGAGATGATGGGGGTGGAACTGCAGCAGATCTGCTCTCTACACTGACATATTGACCAACAGCGGCACTTTGAGTTCATTCTGAAGAACTACAAAATGACTAAAAACATACAGAATATTCAGATTATAACACGTGTTTTAAAATGATCTCCCCTTAAATCATGACTCAGATATAGCCGTTTTTAAAGTTAATTAAAATGCAATCTTTCAACAAGAAATGGAGGAATAATTTTAAATAAATGTGTAAAAACAAACAAGCCAAAAGCAACATAAAATGAAACTAATTAAATATTACAAGTTTCGATGCAACTTTCTAAACGAAATTGAAGAGAAAATTATTAATATTTAATTAACAGAGATTAAACATACGTAAATAGTTCGACTTAAATATTTTTTAATATGGAGACAACGTATTTGAAGGGTTTTAAATTACTAAATACCTAAATTAGGAGAAGAAACAAGACACGAAATGTAAAACATTTCAGCACCATGGTCAGTTACGGTGACTTGAGTTCAATCTTCTCTGAAGATATTTTAAAACTAAAATGTGTTCAAAGAGGATAGAGGATGCTCAAAGTAGAAAAATAATATTCCCATATTTTAAAATGATGCATTTTTGTATTGTAGAGCTTTTAAATTACGCGTTTATATTGGTTGTTTTACGCAAGTGTATAACAGAAATTGAGAAGGACGTTAGTCACTCCTGAAATTTCGATAAAACTGCATAACGCAATACAGCGGAAAAAAATAGCACAAAGATCTTGGTGATAATACCACAGGACAAATAAATATAGACAAATTAAATAAAAATGCCACACGCCACCACAATATAAAAAGACAAATTACAACAACTAGTCTTTTTTTCTCGTGCCAACAGAAAATTTTCAATAAAGACACCGTTGGCATGGATAATTTGAATGGATTCAGTCCCTATAAACGTTTACAACACATATTGTTAATAAGAAAGCCTCACCTGATCATCAAAATCTCCACTGACCAGTTTTCCCCTTTGCGCGTGCGTAAGTGTCTGTGTTCCACTGGTGTCCAGACTAATGATGCTCTCACTGCAAGGTCTGCCGTATTTCACATCACTCTTTCTGGAGTCAGTGGTTCTGCAAACCTCATAATTGTACACGTGCTGTAAAGTTCCTGTGCCTCCTACATCTGCGTAAAGAGGCGGATAATACGGAATAACCGGAAGATTCGCTCCAGACTTATAAAACATCCGCTCGCGTCTCCATCTGTAGCATTTGACTGACAGTATGGCGATGATGGACACGATAAAGAGAAACGACACTACAGCCAAGGCCAAGACGAGATAGAAAGTCAGGTTGTCGTTGTATTCCTTGTCGTGCGTAAAGTCGGTGAACTCCGAGAGCACCTCAGGGAAGCTGTCCGCCACCGCCACGTTAACATTGACTGTAGCTGATCGAGAGGGCTGCCCGTTGTCCTCCACTACAACAGTGAGTCTTTGTTTGACAGCATCTTTATCTGTCACTTGCCGGACAGTTCTGATTTCTCCATTCTGTGCGCCCACTTCAAACAGCGCCCTGTCTGTGGCTTTGTGCAGTTTATAGGAGAGCCAGGCGTTCTGTCCAGAGTCCACATCAACAGCCACCACTTTAGTCACCAGATAACCCACATCTGCCGAACGAGGCACTATTTCAGCCACCACAGAAGCGCCTGACTGGACCGGATACAGAACCTGAGGCGCGTTGTCATTCTGGTCCTGAATCAGGATTTTGACGCTCGCGTTGCTGCTGAGAGGAGGAGAGCCTCCGTCCTGCGCTTTTACGCGGAACTGGAACTCTTTGATCTGCTCGTAATCGAAAGATCGCACTGCATGTATGACTCCACTATCAGCACTAACGGACACTAACGAGGAGACGGGCACTCCGTTAACCGACGAGTCCTCCAGTATGTAGGACACACGGGCGTTCTGGTTAAAATCTGCGTCTCTGGCTCTGACTGTGAATATGGAAAGACCAGGTGTGTTGTTTTCCTGAACAGAGGCCTGATATGAGCTCTGCTCAAAGACAGGCGCGTTATCATTCACATCTGATATCTGTAAGGAGAGAGTGACGCTGCTGGAAAGAGAGGGCACGCCCTCATCAGCACACGTCACACTGATGTTATACTCAGACTCTCGCTCGCGATCTAAATCACCATCAGTGACCAAACTATAAAACCCATCCGAAGAAGACTGAATGATAAATGGTAAGTTTATATTTAAGTGACAATCAACCTTGCCACTTTCATTTGAGTCCACGTCTTGGATGTTTAATATAGCAAGTACAGTGCCAGATTTTGCATCCTCTGGTATTTGGTTTGATTTCGAAATAATATTTATAGAAGGGTTGTTATCGTTTATGTCAATGACGTCGACAATTATTTTACACGAATCTGTATGCCCGCCGTCATCTCGTGCTTGAACATCAATTTGATAATACTTACTCATTTCATAATCTATGCCCCCAGTGAGCTTTACAACACCCAATTCAGAGTCTATTTCAAAAATATCTGCCGCTTTGTCTGCCGTACTTGAAATTGAGAAAGTTATTCTACTGTTGGATCCCTGATCCGCATCAGAAGCACTCACTGTCGTTAAAACTGTGCCTTTTGGGGAGTTTTCTGCTATACTGGTTTTGTATACAGTTTGTGAACACACAGGGGCATTATCATTAGCATCTAAAACTGAAACATGAATTTTCATTGTACCTGACATTCGAGGATCACCTCCGTCAAAGGCTGTTAAAATTAGGGATATATGATCGTGTTTCTCTCTGTCTAAGGGGGTTTGAAGAACCATTTCGACGGCTTTGTTTCCATCGGGGAGATTCTGATATTTTAAAGCAAAATTATCCGTCGGTTCTAAAGAATAACTCTGTAAACCATTTTGACCGACGTCATGATCAATAGCACGTTCCAATATAAACCTAGCTCCCGCTAAAGACATTTCGTTTATTTCAAATCTCATCTCGCTCTTACTAAAAATCGGTGCATTGTCATTTATATCTGTTACCTCAACCGTAACGCGATACAATTGCATGGGATTTTCGAGAATGATCTGAAAATGCAGCGCGCAAGGCGTTGTCTGTCCGCACAGCGCCTCTCGGTCTATTCTCTCTTTGATAAGGAGGACTCCTCTTTCTTTATTCAGCTCGATGTATTCAGCGCTGTCTCCTGTATAAATCCGCGCTTTCCCCGATTTCAGCCTCTTTAAATCTAAACCCAAATCCTGCGCTATGTTCCCGACTAAAGAGCCTTTGGCCATTTCCTCAGGAATGGAGTAACTGACCTGCCCGAGAGCTGAACTGAGAGAGAGAAACCAAATAAACAGCAGTACTTGCCGCGCCATTGTTCTGTCCGACATTTTGCAGGAGACCAGAGAACGAAGATTTAAGCAGAAGGAAAATAAATCGATCCTAGAACTTGAAGGGAATCATGTATATATCCAAAGTAGAAAGAACAAAAAATTTTGTAAATCCAAGAGAATGATAATGAATAGCGTATCTCCGTGTTTTGTCTTCTCTCTCCTCCTCACACTGTGCTCTCAGCTTCTGTCTCTCTCTAATAATAAGGAGATGATGGGGGTGGAACTGCAGCAGATCTGCTCTCTACACTGACATATTGGCCAACAGCGGCACTTTGAGTTCATTCTGAAGAACTACAAAATGACTAAAAACATACAGAATATTCAGAGTATAACACGTGTTTTAAAATGATCTCCCCTTAAATCATGACTCAATTATAGCCGTTTTTAAAGTTAATTAAAATGCAATCTTTCAACAAGAATGGGGGAATTATTTAAATTAAATGTGTTAAAAACAAACAAGCCAAAAGCAAAATAAAATGAAAATAATTAAATATTACAAGTTTAGATGCAACTTTCTAAACGGAATTGAAGAGAAAAGGATAAATATTTAATTAACAGATTAAACATACGTGAAAACGGTCAACCTAAATATTTTTTAATATAAAGACAACGTATTTGAATGATTTTAAATTACTAAAGACCTAAAATAGGAGAAGAAACAAGACACGAAATGTAAAACATTTCAGCACCATGGTCAGTTACGGTGACTTGAGTTCAATCTTCTCTGAAGATTTTAAAACTAAAATGTGTTCAAAGAGGATAGAGGATGCTCAAAGTAGAAAAAAATATTCCCATGTTTTAAAATGATGCATTTTTGTATTGTAGGCTTTTTAATTTACGCGTTTATATTGGTTGTTTTACGCAAGTGTGTAACAGTAATTGAGAAGGACGTTAGTCACTCCCTCTGGAATTTCGATAAAACTGCATAACGCAATACAGCGGAAAAAAATAGCTCAAAGATCTTGCTGATATTACCACAGGACGAATAAATATAAACAAATTAAATAAAAATACCATACGCCACCACAATATAAAAAGACAAATTACAACAACTAGTCTTTTTTCTTGTGCAAACAGAAAATATTCCATAAAGGCACGAATAATTTGAATGGATTCAGTCCTTATAAACGGTTACAACACATATTGTTAATAAGAAAGCCTCACCTGATCATCAAAATCTCCACTGACCAGTTTTCCTCTTTGCGCATGCGTGAGTGTCTGTGTTCCACTGGTGTCCAGACTAATGATGCTCTCACTGCAAGGTCTGCCGTATTTCACATCACTCTTTCTGGAGTCAGTGGTTCTGCAAACCTCATAATTGTACACGTGCTGTAAAGTTCCTGTGCCTCCGACATCTGCGTAAAGAGGCGGATAATACGGAATAACTGGAAGATTCGCTCCAGACTTATAAAACATCCGCTCGCGTCTCCATCTGTAGCATTTGACTGACAGTATGGCGATGATGGACACGATAAAGAGAAACGACACTACAGCCAAGGCCAAGACCAAATAGAAAGTCAGGTTGTCGTTGTATTCCTTGTCGTGCGTAAAGTCGGTGAACTCCGAGAGCACCTCAGGGAAGCTGTCCGCCACCGCCACGTTAACATTGACTGTAGCTGATCGAGAGGGCTGCCCGTTGTCCTCCACTACAACAGTGAGTCTTTGTTTGACAGCATCTTTATCTGTCACT